AAGTTGTGATTTATGGTGGCATGGTATGAGTTGCATACGGGCAAAAAAATAAAATCACTTTTGTGCCCCCCCCTAATCCTGACATCGGATCTGAACCCCTGCTCCCACCTCATGCAGTATGGATGAACAACTATAAGAATAATGCACACAATGAACATTTAAGTAAACAGCTGGGTGTTGTTTATTAAGTAGCGATGATGTGAAGATTGAAGAAATATCCGCTGACACCGTCTTGATTGTACAAAAAGGTTTATTACAAGAAAGTCCAGCATCAAATCAAGCACCTAGGAGCTTGGAGAGCATTTGGCCAAAATGAATAACTCTGTCTATATGCGTCTGACATATATATAGGTTGGTTGTTATTGAATAAGAACTGGGAAGAAACATCTGGTTCTAATGCAGATGAGCTGGACTGTTAATGCAAAGGGGAGATTGATGGGGGCATTAAGGGGGCCCCTAACCTAATCATTCAAAGGAGAATATCATATTTTAACAGAATGTCATTTGAACTTATGAACCTTCAGAAACCACATGGGCAATATCTTTTTTTTATTTACATGTATGCATGATTTCCAGACTTGAAATATAGTCACTAAATTGTGTTTGTTTATCAACAGAGGTGTTTGTTCTGGTTTAATGATAAACTGTTATAGGTTACCCCCCATTGTATTTATGATAACTGAAATATTGATCGTATTGCTTTGTTGGTAGTTTGATGTCGTATAGACTGGATCTACTCTCTGCACCCTCTCTTCCACTAGGGTGGAAATAAATTTCTGACTTTATTGTGGCATCCTTAACATTTTGTAATTATGTGAAATTTAATATCTCCCTTTTTCACAATGTAAATTGTAAATTAAATAGGAAAGCTGCAGCTCTCTGAAACTATGGCTTTGGTTATTAGTAGGCTAGACTTGGTGATGAATCAATATATAAAGGAAAGAAAATATGAAGTGGATTTTTACTCTCTTTAGATGAATGAACTGAGATAATACCTCTTGAATGATATACAGTTTATAGAATATCCTTTTCATTGATACCCTCTGTTTTCCCTTTGTCAGTCTCAAGTCGTCTGCTCTTATTTTGAAGGTAGTCCTTAATTACCGACCGGAACTACTTAGCCGTGCTGATTCCAGCTAACTTTGTAAAACTTACACAACCTGAATTTACGCAACTATTTTTTTTACAAACAAAAAAAAAAAATAATATGAATATACACACTGCTTTTTTAAAAATATATAAATCAGTGTTTTTTATGACTTTGTAATAAATCAGGAGGTGATTCTGTGGAACTATGAGGTAAAGTCTCCATTAGGCAGCTGACCTCAAATAGCTTTTAAATGGGGAAACTTTATTAAACCACTGAACAGATGACAACATGCACTTTCCCCACTGGATTTAACATGTTCATTCATTTGTTTCATCCATAATTTAGGACACTTTCTTTCTTTCTTTATCAAACAAGTTAACATTTCAATAAAATAGTTTCCTTGTTTTTATTTGAGAAAAACATAACCCATTAAAAGTAAAAGTAGGGCAGCAATTAACTTTTCATTTTGTCATTAATTTGTCCGGTCTGATTGTTAAGTAGTATGCCAGAAAATTGTAAAACATTGTCCACCACATTTGGTAATTAGCAATGTTCCCATGGGTGTTTTTTTTGTTTTGTTTTGTATTCAGCAGTTATTCAAAGTGAACTAAGAAGTCTCTTTTTGTGCTTCCCTGGACAGTATTTCCATCCCTAAACTGCAATTAAGTGCTTTTAACACATATAAGGAATATAAAAATACTTATTATGTCTATATTCAGACAGGTAAAGACTCAAATCAGCTTCAGATAAACTTCAGAAGGTGTTAAATGATTTAGGATTTTGTCGCCCTTCACTTACATGGGGATCTTTAAATGGCCAGTATGAACGGGAGAAAGGACTACAGCAAAAACTAAATCAGGCCTACATAGGAGCATGTGACTATTATATTATCTGCAACTACACTGCAGCGTCTGTAGATATAAAAAGCTCATTCTGAGGTAACAAAAACACAACAATTCCTAGCATAATAATGAATATTCAGTTTCTGCCAATCGACGCTCCATAATGTTACACACTGGACCTTTAAGACAGACTTGAAACTGCTTTATTCCTGCATCACAAACCCAAATAGGACAAACCGGACCAAAACTGAAGCTGAAGCGGTTTTATCTGAGTCCTCCACAAGATGGAAGCACAGCATCAAAAAATAAAACACAGCCTTTCCTCTCTTCCTCAGCTGGGAACCTCACTCAGGTAAGTTTACACTAACAAATGACTGACAGGTCCTGTAATACAAGGATACATGTTGGACAGCAGCTGAAAAAAAGGATCTTTTTGTTCATATTAATGTGGGTAACTTGGGCTGGCAACAGCAGGAAATCAATCACCGGAATTACATATTTAAATATATAACCGCTGTGCAAATATGCTTAATAAAGAATCTAAAAGAGTCGGAGCCACAGAGTGCCCATATACAGGAAAACTAAGAGCTGGAAAAGTTGCGTGCACACGAGAAACAGTTCGGTGGGTGGGTGTATGGATTCAGACATACTGTTGTTGCCTGACTATTTAATGTAGGCTTAAGTGTGGTGAAGAAATCGATTTTACCTTAAGGCTGATTTTATAGTTTAGTCCTTAATTGTCAGTGTACACTTGGTAGATCACTGCAACTGTGTGAAGAATATGTGGGTGCGCAAATCATGCCTTGCATAATCCGTGAAGGGGGTGCACTGCACTTCATACTGCAGGGGGAAAGGCTGGTCTGTTCTCTGCTCTCTGTATATACAGCTATCTCATGCACTCTCAAATGAATGCTCGACTGCTTTACTGGTGCACAATGTAGTAAAAGGTGACCTCAATATATTGTTTTTTCTCTCTATGATCTTCTGGGGGGTTCATTCAAGACAAAATCAAAACCTGAAACTTTTCAGACAAACGTAGGGCTACGTTAACATCCATCAGAGACACGTGATGGAGAAGGAAGATACAGTTTTTGAATAATGAAAGAATGAACATCCAGCTTGAAATATTAAGATACATAAAAACACCCAGCATGTTTAAGTGACCTTAAGTTGGTTGTGAGTGGAACTGCAGATGGATGTTTGCTGTTTGACAGCAGGTAGGTAATAAACTATTCATCAGCCCCAGCAGTGACTGTCATCGTCTGTCATGTTTGCTTGACAGGAGGCCTTTTCTGTGGTGCTGCCACCGGGTACGTGCTGTGCATACGCGCGCTCCAATTGTACAGCTGGATGATAACTGTTACAGCTTTGAATTAGACGGAAAAATTCAAAGCAAAGCTCACCAGAAACTACACAAGTCTGAAGTCTGAAACATGTGCAGTCAGACGACTAGACAGGTTGGAAACAAACCTCCAGGTTAGAATAACTTACTTTGAAGAGAAAAAGAGCAATAAAATGATTACCAACCTGTCAGCTGACTTCTTATGTTTCTTCCCCCATCAGACTTCACTGGAGATGATGATGTTACTGTGTTTTCAGATTTTAGCTATTGACTTTGTGACATTTAACATACAAAGACCTTTCATTTTGTGTTGGTTCTGTTGGTCCCTGTGGACCAAAGCAGTAGTGTTTCTACCGCTTTGAGTCGTAGAGATCTGTTTACTAGCATAGGAGCTTTGGACTGCGGTGGGGGACCCAGTGGGAAGTGCTGCACAGCCTGCAAGGCCAGCGGAGGCCAGCTTATTTGCAGCAGTTTGGACCAGGACTCCGACTCTGGGAGACAACAGAGACACGGTGGGTTCAGGTGGGGACAGGAGACGCATGAAATGGATGAGGAGCAAGTTCATTTGTGAGTAACTTATTAACGTTATAGATCATGCGTGGTGTTGATAAGTATAGTCAATTGTTTATTTTTGTAAAGTTGGAATGCATAAATTCTGTGTTTCGAACAACGAGACTTGATGTTATACTCTGCTGACATAACTTTACATCATGTTCAATCACCTTCCTGATTGTCCCGACACATTCAGAGTGATTACTGGTTTTATAGATATAAATAAATAAGTATCATAAATATGTTATTACTAGTCGACTAATGGCTTGAACTAACGACTACTAGTCGACTCAGTAAATCTTTAGTCGGGAGCAGCCCTTGTAGAAATAGCCAGTGTTCTCTGTGAAGGTCTCGTTTGCTCATGTAGGTCATAATAGAGTAGTAATGAATCAAAAATGTTTCATAACCAGTTAAAAACTCCCTGTATGTAGTAACTTTACATTAACTTACAGTTACAGTAACAGGACCTGTTTAAATATGAAAGACTCAATTATTAGTATGAGCATTCCCAATAAAGAATGCCTTTATCTTTGTGTGTGTGTTAATGTTTGATGACTCAGGTTTCTGGTGGGATACTGCACACAGCAGCAGTTTCACACATCAAGGCTCCGTTGCTTTATGGGGCTGATCGATGCTCTCGTTCTACTGTGGGTGAACTCCGCTATCAGAGGATCCAGCATTGCTGTGTTGGACCATTTCATAGTTTTATTGTTGTAAGTTTCACTGGGACAACAAGAGGAGGAAATCTTTCAGCTGA